GTTAAATTTTTTTAACATTTTCTAATGGTGGTGTGCCTCATGATTTTTTTCATGAAAAAAGTGTGCCTTTGCACAAAAAAGGTTGAAAAACACTGAACTAGACAGACCCAATTCCTGCAACTGTTCTTCATATGTTTTAGCCTCCAGTCCCTAATCATCTTTATAGTTCTTCTCTGCACTCTTATTAGAGCAGGGATGTCAAACTTGATTTCCTTGAGGGCCACATCAGGGTTGTGTTTAACCTCGGAGGTCTGGGGTGGGCATGGACAAGATGGCTGTGGACAGCCTGATATCACTCATGTCAGGTGCCTCTTGTGGCCTCAGAGCTCTGCCCATGAAAATGGGCTCCCGAGCTCTGTTTTCAGCTGGGACAGCCTCCTGCAACTCTCTGCCAGTGAAAACGGAGCTTTGGGGGAGGGTGCAGCTCCTTGTGAGCTCTGCTTTCAGATGAAATGGCCTCCTGCAACCTTCTGCCAGCTAAAACGGAGCCAGTTCTTTGCTGTTTCCAGGGCAGCCCCGTGGATCAGATCTAAGCACCCCATGGACCAAATCTCGCCCATGGGCCTTGAGTTTGACACCCCTGTTCTAGAGTCTCAACATCTTTTTTATACTGTAACTAGCATCAGCTTGTATTATGAAGGGCTCCTCCAGGCTCAGATGTTTAAGAGATGGCTCCTCTGCAAAGAGCTATTTGAGCTTTTTGAAAGCTGCTTGATATTCCATAGTCCAATTAAGCTGTTGGCTCACTTTGCCTTCATCCCACCTCCATCTGTTTTTAGTAGTTTGATGATGGGCAGGGCTATTTGCACAAATGAAGGGATGAACTACCAGTAGAAGTTGCAAAGTCCAAGAAGCTCTGCAGCTGTCTTCTGGTTCGGGGGACTTCCTACTCTAGTATTGCTTTCACTTTCCCTGGGTCCAGCTCCACTCCCTCACTGGACACTTGGTACTACAAAGAATCCAGACTGGTTTTCTGGAAGTCACATCTGGATAGTTTGGCATAGATCTTGGCTTCCAGTAGCTTCTTCAGTTCTTCCTGCACTAACTTCACATGATCTTCCCCTGTCTCAGAATAAATAAGAAATTAGTTAAACAATAGATTCCCTTTCCCCCCACCCTGGATATTCACATTGTCCAATTATAAGACTTCTTTTTTTTATGGGAACAGTCCATGTCTCCATCTGACACCTTGGTGCGGTTCAGGCTCTCATGGTCTGTAGATGAAGGTAAGCATTCCATTTCCCCTCTTCCCACTTGAATGGCAAGATGAAAGTGATGGAAGCTCAGAAGTAAAGTGTTTCAATCTTGGCATTTGGGGTTATTCAAATAACTATTTGTTTCTACGATTGTTAGCAAGTCAGAGCTTTTGTGAGCAAGTCACAATTAGGCAGAGTAGGATTTCAACTAGTGGCTAATACTAGCAGGCAGGAACTAATCTGTGGAATCCAAAGCTTCTTAGCAAGTCTGCTATTATAGTAGATCTAGAAGTGTTTATCTTGTAACTTAGCAATTCTCTGATCTGATCCATGGTTAAATGCTTATCTCTTCCTGAAGTGTATAGAAAAACGTCAAGCTAGCAAATGGGTAACACATCTGTCAAGAAAATATCATTGCTTCTGCTGTTGCAGCTTGGGGTAGATAATAAAAGGATTGCCACAGTAGATCTTACCCAGGTAAATAGAGTATTTCAGGGATATTTCTTTGACTCTTCCTCCTGTACATTTTCAGTAATCTTGTTCATTTTTATGGGACATTTTCAAAGCAGCCCAGAATTTTCCTGCAGTGCCAGAGGGCCCATCCAATAAAAATTTCTGGCTACTACAGCATTTATTTTTTCTTGGGGCGAAGCATTTCTTACTGAAGATGAAGAAAAGATGATCAATGATTATAACCTCAAATATTTTTTTTCTTATTCTAGTTTGCTTGCCAATGAATACCATCATGTGGGTACAAGGTGCCTAAGAAACAGCATTTAAAAAAAGAAAAGAATGTGTTAAGAGTTTAATGCTGCAAGTAAGTCAGTATTTTTCTTTCTTGTTATAACAATTGTACTTTTAAAAAAACAGTATTTGTTTTTATTCTTTTCTTTCTGCTGCATGCAGGAAAAAAAGGATTGCATGAAAGGAGTTAAAAAGATATATGGGTTACCACTGAATATGGATTATTGGGGCAAATAATTAGTTATCCCCCACCCTATACCATAAATTTGATTATATTTTAGCTTACAGGAATTTATAGTAGTATAGTAGTATAGTATAGTAGTATAAGTTTATTTATAGGGCGCCCTTTTCCCTGAGGGGACTCAGGGCGGCTTACAACTTATGTAGGAAGGGATACATACAATGACGTATAGAACAATACATAATTAAAAAATAGAGCAACATTCATCATTCGGGCGGGGACGGATTATAATCTTTAACCCCA